CTTTGCAGTGAGGATACACCAACTTGGAGCTTACCAGCTGCTGTCCTTTATACAGTTTATATCTCCGGTACCTGGCATCACGTTTTATGGAACACATGGCCTGGCCTGACAAAGTGACATTTACCATCTACCTGGCCCTGGATGGGGGCAATCGTTGCCCAGAAGAGGAACATCATTCTGGCGCTCCTGTTTACATCATCGGCCGCCAGTGAGGGACATTTACCATCTTGAACTTTTAAAATGAATTTTTATAATCAACTGTAGAGCACCATTTTAGCTTGTATTACCGATGTTTTAATTGTAACCTATGTTTTATTTCCGGCGTTGCCGCATGTTCGCCGCCCTAGGCCGCACGGATAGGGCGGGATATAAATCCCAATATAAATAAATAAATAAATATGTCAGATCCGGCCCTTGTAACAAATGAGTTCGACACCCTGGCTTAGTAGCTTAGTGCAAATATTTTATTGGCTGCATTTTGATGAGATGATTAACTTGTGGGCCAGTCACAAACTCCAGTCTAAAGGTCAGTTGATTGGTACAAAATTGAGATGTCAAAGCTAGGGTTTCTTCCTCATGGTTTGTAGTAATTATGGTTTGCTGTGATTGTAAATTCACAATCCACAGAGACAGCAGTAAAGGATGTTCTCTCTGCTGGGAAACAAAGATAAGGCAAAAAGCAGACTAATTGGGATTTGTTACTTTTGTATGCTAAACTAGCCAGAGTTTGTCACATAAAACACAATTTATCATGCCTGGATGCACCCATTCTTTAGTTAGCAAGCACTGTCAATCTAGGTTTCCCCTCCTATTCACAAACAAAACAGGTGCACCCATTTTCATAAATGAGATCATCCAACATGCCACATGCTTACCTTGTGCAGCATATCGGCAAGATCCATCTTCCACCAATACATTGTAGAAAGGCTGGTGGGGACCGTGTGGCAAGCTGTGGACGTTCATGTTTCGAATCCACTCGTGCCCCATCATGCAGGCTGGGTCCCAGCCGTAGATTACACAGTTATAGCCGTATCTGAATGGAAGAACAGAGAAAAACAGCACAAAATTCAACAACAGTTAAATCGGAGACCCTCTTGAGTGATACGAGAGCTGCAGACGTTGGGTGGAAAAATTAAGAGGCGTGGCAATGAACACTGATGGTTGAAATCAAGTGACATGGGATGGAAATGTTTTTGATGCTCTATTTTTCTGGGGAAATTTTTCCACCCCACATATGTAAATATAGCAGGGGTCCTTAATATGGTGCCCGGGGGTACCACCGCACCCACCAACACCTTCTCTGGTGTCCACCAGGTGTTTTTAGAAAGTGGGTGGGGCCAGGTGGAATCCTGCTCACCTAGGGCTTTTGACTGCCCATCTGAGATCTGATTCGTTGTGCAGATTAAAATAACATTTTGGCAACAGCTGCTGCTGCAGCGTTGGTTCTATTCTCTGACTCCTCCTTCCCAATAGATCTTTTACTGCTCTTACTCCCTGTATGTGTGGTTGGTTCTGCCTCCCATGTGGCCATCATGAGTTGTGCACATCACCGTGTCAGAATTCAAAAGGTGCCCACAAGCTCAAATATAGTCTTATATACAGCTACAAATCAATCATGTTGGATGGGCTAAACATGGAATATGAAGCATGGACAAATCCCAGTGCTTGTAAAGGACCCAGAATTGTAGAGAGTGTATTGGTCTTCTTCTGCTAGCATTACTTATATTTTCCTAATATTGTTTAAATATCTAAATAATTTATTTAAATTTGAATAGGAACCAGAAAACCCACATCACTGGTTGAAATGAATAAAAATGACACGGTATTACAGTTGGTATAACTGCTTGAATCTCTGTCTCTAGGAAGAATTGTTGACTGGTGCCTTCCGTGTAATGATTTTGCTATTTTTTTTCCTGATTATGTTTTTCAACATCTTCGTGGCTTATAAGCGTTCACTCCTCTTCTGAGGAAAGTTCCGAAACATGTCATAACATCCAAAAACTCATCAAAAAAGAAGCAAGATTAAAGGAGAGTTTTGAGAATACTTAGACTGTGTGGACTGTGTGGACATGAAGTGTTTAAGTTTTGTCTGATTGTACATGAGTTACATTTACCTTGACTATCAGGTTGGAATTTGAACACATATGTTGATTAGGCTGTATGTATTGCACACACATAGGATATAATAAGAATACATTTTATTGTATTGTAATTATTAATTTCTTGTACTTAGAGACCCTTATCACAGTGTTTTCCTACACACTGTGATTCCTCTTGACTGTTTTGCAACACCAAATATGAAGGAAATGGTCAGCCTCGCCCTGACCTGGATAGCCCAGGGAAACCCGATCTCGGAAGCTAAGCAGGGTCGACTCTGGCAAGTACTGGATGGGAGACCTCCTTGGAATACCAGCAGTCGGCAGGCTGGGGCAGGCTTTATTCAGCCACCTCTCTGAATATCCTCCAGGCCCCCAGTAGGGGTCAGTCACCAGAAGTCGCCATGACTTCCAGGTGCACGCACACACTCACATAGGAGGGGAAAAAAGGTCAGCCTCCAAGCCTCCTGAGCATTTCAGTGGAGATATGCTCTTCTTAGGCCTAAGTGTACACATGCAGCAGAGTGAGATGATAGAATGGATTGTACCACATCAGACTTCAAATGGAAAAAATGCACTTTTGAATGCTCCCCTACATGGGGGAAAAACCCCTCCTTACAAGTAAAAAACTAGCATACCAGGGAACAGACTGGGCTAAAAACTCCTTCCCTGATATGCTAGGGTCTATTTTGGGGTGTTTTAAACTCACCTAAAGATTTTAAACCCCCTTTCCCCTTCAAAAATAGTGGTGTGTGTGTGTATTAAGTGCCATCAAGTCATTTCCAGCTTATGCAGAGCCAATAGATTACTTTTTTCTAAAACATGTCATCGTTGACAACCTTGCTCATGTCTTGCGAACTAAAATAATGGTGCCCCTCGGACTTTTATGGACAGGGGATGGGGGGGGGGACTGTACCACTTCAGGCTGCACAACCTCATTCTGCTGCAAAGGGAGTCCCAGCAACAGACTGTGTGAAGCATCCTCTCCCAAGCCAACTAAGAATAATGTTGTCAACACAGAAATTGAACAGTGTTCTTGGACAGCTAATTTTATCCCTCTCCTTATGGTACACAGATGGGTGAAAGCTACATAAAATTGTCATCTTCACCCTCCCGCCACCACGAGGCTAGCTGCTCGTATGATGTTCACATCACAGTGAAGAGTACCGTTTGTGTTCATCCACTTTAGTTATGCTTATTTCATCCACACCAGACTGTATGGGGCAGTATTCAACTCTTGAAATTAGCTGTACTCTACACTAAACCTGCTCCTAATACAATAACTAAACAACAGCAACTCAGAGTATCTTTCGGCATAGAACTTCCACAACATGGGAGCTGAAGAGCAGTGATTTCAGAGGGCTGGGTTCCTTTCATGAATATGCACCCCTTGATTAGTGAACACCTGGCCTGTGGGTAAATGTGTGAGCCGAATCCACAGTGCAATCTGTGAGCGAATCCACTGTGCTTGAGCTAAAGTCAGGCAACAGGGCAGTTCTAGTCAAGATGCTGGATCTGAAATCGCTTATTGTTTATCAAAACGGTTTCCATCCCAACGCACATCCGCAGAGTGGATTACAACAGTTTTGGATCAATCCACAAGCCATTAGGAAAATCACACCACATACAACACAAAATAAGAGCCTCAAAACACACACATGCTCTTTCCCCCACTCTATCTATCTATACAAAACTCCAGCAGCCAGCTAACAAGATAACAAGGAAGCCAGCAATATCAGATACAATACAAAACCGTTATTCATGTCAGGAACACGACAGCTGGCCAGTGACAAATGCACTGCTTATGAATCCAAGGCCCTTTCAAAGAGGATCATCTTCTTTAATTTATTCATTTGGCTAATTTAGAGCTCACCTGACGGCTACAAAAAGCACCTAAGGAGGCTTACAATTTTGTTTTTAAATACAGACATATCAAGCTAAGAATGGTATTAAAAGGAATATTAACAGCAGTAGATGTACAGTAAAACAGAGTTAAAAACGTAGAAGCAGAAGGCTAAAATGCTGTTTGGGGAAAAAACTTAAAAGATGTACAAACAGAACACCACAATATATGTCATGTAAAAAACATCTGAAAAACCTCCAAGTCCCAATACACATAAAATATCAACTAATTTCAAAGGCCCTCTGGAAAAGACACATTTTAAAGTCCTAAGGGCAGGGGAGCCCAAAACCTTGAGGCTACAGCTGGAAAAGTCCTCTCAAGTGAACAGCAACCTCACCTCTATTAAAGGGGGGGAGGCGGCGGCAGCAAAAGGGAGCACCCACAGGTCAATCTCAAAAATCCAAGCAGAGGTGGTCTTTCAGCACACAGCAAAAGTCCAAAAGGGACGGAGGCCAGGCCAACTTCTCTTGGAAGAGCATTCCAGAGTCAGGGTGCTACCACCAAGAAGGCCCTCTACTGAATTTCACTCTGAGTTGGGCACACAGAGTAGGTCTTCCAAAGATCACCTCAACGGCTGGGCAAGATTATTTCCCTATGCAAATCATCCCTGCAGCTGGCAATCAACAAATTCCTCTGAACAGTGCAAAATGCTGCAGAATGAGAAGAAGGATTAGACAGAGTCACCTTTTGTGCTTCATAACCAAGCCAACAGAATAGCAGACTTCTTTGTGCTTCTCATCAGAATGGAGCTTCACATCGGGCCCTGTTTCCTCTTTCCGACGTTCAATGTGTTCCAACGTGTGCTGGACTAAATAGCCCACCGCCCCATGCTGAGAAGGGTCCAAGGCCTGAATATGTTGCAAAATGTCCAGCACCTTTGGCAGAAGGAAGCAAAAATAAGGGGCAGTTGTAAACAGCTACCATCCAGTTAAAAACTCACCTGTTACAACTCAGAAGACCTTTGTTCTCAAAAGGGAATGATAGCCTTGCCCTGCCCATTCTCCAGAGGACCAAGAGCTGAAGTTCTATAATCTCCCAGCAAGAACAACTCTATTCTAGTGTACACTACTCTATTGCAATGGAGCTATCGGTAAAACCAAGGGAGCATTTTAACAGCCCTTGCAATTCTATCTTTGATTACAGTTTCTACAGTTTCTACTACTACTTCTACAGCCTGGGACAGATGTTAAGCTAACTGGCCTGGAGGAGGCAGACGAGCGCCGGGAGTTGCAGGAAAGCAGGCCGACGAAACAAGCTGGAGGCATGATCTCCGTAGCAAAAAATAAGAGGGGGTGGATTGGATTGTTCGCTTTTATTTGATCCTTCCAAAGAGCCTCTGGCTGCCCTGCATGTTGCAACCCGATCCCGCAACTGGGAAGCACCCGCCCTCCCCCTCCCCCCGGGGGGGGAGGCGGCGGCAGCAAAAGGGTCTCCAGGCCCCACCGGGAGGTTGGCATCTGCGCCTGCCTAGGGCGCAGAAGCACCTCGAGCCGGCCCTGCCTGTAATTTCTTGGTTCCCACTTGGACCCCTTTTAAAAAATCAGTGCAACTGTTGCTTCTCTCCAGACTTCTGGTACAGTGGTCGATTTTAGTGACAAGATATATGTACTGGTTAATAGACCGGAGAACAAGTATAAAGAAAACAGTCGTGAGAGTCAGACCCATAAATCAAGCAGTCAACAAGACTTGCAAAAAAAATGCTTTCTGTATATTATGGTCAAAAGCACTACTACACAATAAACAAATTCCTACAAATCATAAGAAAATCCTAGTGCAAAGATACATCATCGTTGTCGTCTCCGGATTACATAACAACGTTTCAAAATTGAATGTTCCTCAGGAAATATTAGAGTAGTACAAAAGTTCTCTTGCTCATAAAGTGCTTTACAAGAAGTCATGAAAGATAATACATTCAGATAGGACGCTGAATGAATCTCTCAATAAGAGATCAATAGTCACAATCAGGACTTTATTTGTAGAAAAAGCCCAGCAGGAACTCATTAGCATAATAGGCCACACCCAACAACAGAAACTCATTAGCATATCCAGCCACACCCATGAGAGCACAGCTCATTAGCATATTAGGCTAATATGCTAATGAGCTGTGCTCTCATGGGTGTGGCTGGATATGCTAATGAGCCAGCCGGAACTCCGTTCCTGTGCGTTCCTGCCCAAAAATAGCCCTGGTCACAATAATGAGATGCCTGGGATCCATTAGAAATTTAGCAGCCTATTTGAGCCTGAACACTTATTTCTCTCTTTCTAATCTCTCTCTTTCTTTCTAATCTCCCTTTGAAATTCCTTTGTAAGAGAACTGCTACTCTTAGGGCTAAGTTACACTGGAGGGAAAGACATGGCCAAAGCGTGGCTTTTTTGAGCCGCACCAAAAGAGACGCGCGGTGGCCGGATCAGACAGATCCCCCGAGCCGCCGCGCAGTTGCTCCCTGGCACAATCAGATGCCAGGGGGAAGCCACGGAACAGAGAGCGAGGCAGCTGGCTGCGCATGTGCGCGCATGCGCAGTTTGGCTGGGAGCCTCGCATGCTGTGGGAGACGGGCGCGCCGGCGATCCCATGGCCGCCCTTGCTGTGGATTTTCAGGTAGGTTTTTTTTTAATGCACGGTTTCGCCTGGAAAGGACGGTTTGGGGACGGGTGCACTCCGCTTCCCAGACGTTGCGGTGTGATCGCGCCCGTTTGCTGCGCCCCCGATCCGTTCCTCTTGCGGGGCAAAACCTCCCGTGTGACCGGGGCCTTAGGTCAGCAACTGAATGTCCTGGAAGGTTAAAAGGTTCCCCCACTGGGTTTTGAATGTTGTGGTTTCTAATAGTAGTAGAAAGAGTAAGAATCCAGTAGCACCTTAAAGAGTGGGGAATCAAAGCCGGTTCTCTAGATTAGAGTCCGCTCTCTTAACCAGTACACCAAACTGGCTCTCAAGGGGGCAAGTATGACAAATGCACAGAAGTGCTTCATTCTCATTAGCACTTTCTATTAGTTCAAAGTGTATAGGTTTCAACAAGCCTCTTTCATGAGCAATGAGTTGCAAATGTAACATTTGGTGTGAGCACCTATAAGCCAAAAAGCTCCACACATCTCAAAGGCTTTTTTCAAAAGACAAAGATGAAAGAATCCAGGACACAGCCTTTTGATATGGCCTACAAGCATTCCCTGATGATATTTTTGATATGCCTCACCCTCTCAGAACTGGAAGCCACACCTACATGATATGGCACTACTCCATATGAAAACCATACATTTATTTATTTACTTCATTTATAGCCCACCTTCCTCCCCAATGGGGACCCAAAGCAGCTTACACTGTTCTCCATTTTATCTTTACAACTACTCTGTGAGGTAGGTTAGGCTGAGAGCATGTGACTGGCCCAAGGTCACCCAGCAAACTTCTATGGCAGAGTGGGGATCTGAATCTGGATCTCCTAGACTCTAGTCCACGGGTGGCCAACCTGTGGCTCAGGAGCCACATGCAGCTCTTTCACACATATTGTGTAGCTCCCGGCAGGGCAGCTGGGGAAGCGAAGGGGAGGCTTCCTTTCCCCACCCAGTGTTCCCCTTCCAGGGTAGGCTTGAGGCAGGGGGGAGCAGAGAAAGAAAGCAACTTTAGCTTTAAATGCATTCTCAAAGCCCCCTCCCAAGCCTACCAATATCATTGGACAAATAAATATCATTATCAATATCTATTTTTATCCCTTTTGTTTTTATTTCTGGTGGTCTCATTTAATGTTAATAAAAAGCAAATTTGCATATTTTTCAATAAAAACATGTCTGTAATATTTGTTCACATAATGTGGCTCTCAAACATCTGATGTTTATTCTATGTGGCTCTTACATTAAGCATGTTTGGCCACCCCTGCTCTAGTCCAACACTCTGGCATGGACAAGCGACTGAACCTGGTCGCAAACTAAGCTGCTATATGAAGTCCTAACATAGCTGACGCTACTCTTTTTCTCATTGTTTAACAACAGCTATTCATCATACAGAGAGCCTGGTTGATGCATACAACCGTCTTTCATTTTATAGCAGAGGAGTCTATGGACGGGCCCTAGCACTGAGAGAGCTTTTTAATGTTCATAAATATTTCTCCTGTTAAGTATTTGCGGAGAAAAAGGCTATTCCCATCTACACATGGCTGGTATTGATCTCTGAAGTGTAATGAACACACTTTAAAAGAGGTTGTAAAATTATGAGAAGCTGTTAGTAATCTAAATCGATAGCCTAGGATTGATTGATTGGTTTGGCATTATCTCAAAAAGGCGGCGGGGGGGACGACGACAGGAAAGTTAGATAAACTGCTGGATTAGATTCCAATGAAGCTTGCAACACCTGGTTTAAAGTTCAATTACAGAACAGAAGATGCTGATCCAGAAAACCAGGGCTACTATTAACAAGTGAAGTACTAGGTTGATACTAGGGTGGGGAGTATGCAAAGCATTGAGTCAGGCATGGCTTAAGCTCCTCACAGAAATGGGAAGCAGTGGGAGGCACAGTCTGTGGCACTAAGAGCATGAACTGGGAAGTCTGGGACCACGCAATTCCCACCTCCCCAAACACCATGAGCCAACTAATTTCCAGATTTGTGGCAAACCCTAGCTGGCAGCTGTCATAGTTTGTGCCTGCCCTGCAAAAGAGGACTGCAAACAAGAAACAAACCACACCCACGCAACAAAGAAACTAGGGATTGCTGCAAGCCAGGTAAGAAGCAATCATGTAGGGTGAGCCCGCAGCTCCTTCTAGACTCCTGCAGGTAGCATCAAGCCAGCAAATTCTTTGGGGAGAAGAATTAATCTTTTCCTTACACATGGGCCGCAGCCTAGTCTTGGCCTTTGGAGTAAATCGACATAAACGCAGATGTACAAGCTGAAGTACCTTTTCTGGCCAGATTCCCAGGTGGAAGTACAGTCTTGCTTGGAGCATCAGATGCTGCACATTGTCTGGATACATGGCCAGGTACAGATCCAATGAGTCCCTCAAGAGCTGGTAGGACTGATCGGTGCTTTCCCTATCGACAGAAACATTCAAGCTCACCATTTCTTACATGTTCATGATCACAGCGTTTGAGACACCATATTCCGACAAAAAGTAGCACATGCTGGACTGTCTCCCTGGATAACCCTCTTAGTTGCAAAACAAACAGCACAACCTCCACAAGCACAAAAATATTGATGCTGCCAGACCAGCTCCATAGCAACAGGACTGCGCTACCACAATTTTTCTTGTAGCCTTGTAAATTATACTTAAACCTCACCTATCCCCTCTGTCCTAGGAGTGGCTCTTACTGACCTGTAGCCTGGGATGTACTAATTGACTGATGCATGCTTATGGCCCCTGCCACACGGCAGGGGAAAATCCTCTAAAAGTGCAGCTTTTAAAAGCCGCGCCAAAGTTGAGACGCCGCAGCGGGATCCCATGGATCCCCTGGTCGTGGCACCTTTTCTCCCCGGCACGATCAGACGCCGGGGAGAAAACACGGCCCCGACGGGGAGCCTGCCAAACTGTGCATGTCGGAGCATGCGCGGTTCGGCTAGGAGCCGGGGATGCGCCGGCACAAGGATGTGCCGGCGATCACGGCGCCTCGTCCGGATGAACCACCTCAGGTAGGTGGTTCACTTTTGACGCGCCTCATCGGGGGAAGGGCCGGATCGGAGACAGGAGCGCAACGCCAGCCAGATGTTGGCGTGGGATCGCGCCCGTTTGCTCCGTCTCCAATCCGGCCCACTCCCGGCCCAAAACGCCTCGTATGAACTATGTCTTGCTTTTCCTCCACTGTGGAACGAAAGCTGACTTATACACGATTCCCAGGTTGCATCCAGATGCCTGGCCAGACCCAGACCTGCTCAGAAAGTGCCCTCTCTGGGACCTTCAGACAACAGCCATGTGTGAATGCTCTTAAGGATCCTTTTTTAAAATCTGGAAGTATCCAATCCAGTGAGGTCTCTCTGCAGTGATGCAGTTTTTTCCCCACACACAGCTTTACTATTTCCCTGACTATCAGGCCTCAGTAAATGCCTCTTACTCCATGCTGCTCTGATGGGTGCCAGGGTGCCGCACAGCTTCTCCTCCTAGCTCTTTAATGCTCATTCCCCAGGACAGAGAGAAACATGGCAAACTTAATGAAAGGCCTGTGAGTAGCACTGAGAGCATTCAAAGCTCTTTCCAGCCAGGGAATAAGTCCTAAAGGCTCTCCCACAGTTGCTTCTCCCAGAGGGATCTGAATAGGGAAACGGTGCCCTGACACCCTTTCAGGCCAGAAACATGAGTCCCAGTGCAGTCCTATAAATCTGTGCATGTTGCTTCTCCAAGCCTTAAAAAGGGTGAAAGGAGGCAACACAAACACACCCCTCTGTGATGGAATCTTTGGCCGTCCTTAGCAGCCTGAAGACAAACTCTACAGTGAACACATAAAACTGCCCTATACTGAATCAGACCATCACAGTCAGTGCTGTCTGTTCTGACTGGCAGTAGCTCTCCAGGATCTCAGGCAGAGGTCTCCCACATCACCCACTACCAGATGCCAGGGATTGAACCTGAGACCTTCTGCATGCCAAGGAGATGCTCTACCACTGAGCTTTGGTCCCTTCCAGTGGCTGAGTCAGAGCTCTGCTCCACCTTGCCCAACCCCGACTTCAGTATCTTACTAGAGGTCACAGGGCTTAAACCTGGCACCTCGGCACCTCTTACCGTTTCCCAATGTTCAGCAAGTTCCCCACCATTCGCTGCAAAACTTCCTTTGCCGTCGCCACACAATAGAACTCCTCTGTTACGTGGTGTCCAATCAGATACTCACACTCCTTCACCTTTAGCTGTTTGCCCTTTCCGAAAGCGTCTATGTAAATGTAGTCAAAGATATTCGTGCTTCTGAATAAAAGGCCAAGAAAACCGAAACTAAGGGCAAGGCTTCAGAATGCATAACACAGTTTTCATTCTACGGAAGTGGTTCTTACACAGCAATGGGATTCAAGGTCACAGAAACAGATGAAGCCACCAAGTTGGATGGTTGGTCCTTCTAGATCAGTAGTGTCTCCTCTCACTGGTAACAACTCTCACTGGTAACAACTTTCAAGGTGCCAGCAGAGAAAGGTCTCTTCCAAGTCCTGCTGTGCAAAGTTTGTCAACCTGGAGACTTACTTATCTATATACTGCTTTTCTCCCCAATGGCGACCCCAAGTGGCTTGCAACATTGGTCTGCCCTTGTCCATTTTCTCATCATAATGACCCTGTGAGGCGGAGTGTGTATGACGGGCCCAAGGTTACCCAGTGAGCTTCCATGGCAGAGTTGGGATTGGAAGCATCTTGCAGAGCAGGACTTGAAAATGACTTTTCTTTGCTGACGCCTCTTTCTCCCCTTACCTATCCCTCAGGGTATACGGTGATGATATTGTTTATTTATTATATTTTATTTGAAATATTTATTAATTGCCCTTTCTACCTTTTATGAACACAAGGTGGCTTACAATGTAATTGATACATAAAAAAAGAGATTGGATTTATACCCCACCCTTCACTTGGAGTCTCAGAGCGGTTTACAAACTCCTTTCCCTTCCCCTCCCCACAACAGACACCCTGTGAGGTAGGTGGGGCTGAGGGAGCTTTTTCAAGAACTGCCCTTTCAAGGACAGCTCTGACAGGCTTGCCCAAGGTCATCCAGCAGGTGCAAGTGGAGAAGTGGGGAATCAAACCCGGTTCTCCCAGATTAGAGTCTGCACACTTAACCACTATACCAAACTGGCTCTCAGAAAGCGGGTTTCACAAGCCCTTTCTCCCAGACCTTGTTACAGTGCCATAGTAATAATAATAATAATTTTTATTTAGCTAAGGTTTAACTCTTTAATATGTTGGTGATGTCATGGTAGCTGCTTTGAGTGCTGTATTGCAGAAGGGCCAGATCTGAACAGCCAAATATCTAAATGAAATAAGGAGAGAATTACTGTGATATAGTTGTTGGAATGCTGGATCAGGGTCAGAGAGACGCTGCTCAGCTTTGGAGCTCATTTGGTGACTTCAGACCAATCGCTCTTTCTCACTTCAGCTTCAGGATTCTGCTTTTCTTGCTGCAAAATGCAGCAGAAATTTAAACCACTTTAGCGCGAGACTACACACAAGACTTGCCGGTCGATGGGTGTCTGCAGCACGGCAACCACGGTTCCCAGACCTGAATGACATCACTGAAGCCATCCCTTAATTGGGTCCTTCAGGATGCCTGACCACCCGTGACTAATCAGAACACCATTTAGAAGGCCCTTGATGGCCAATTAAGAAAATGGATGGGCACTTTACGTGCGAACGTCAGTCACTAGCAATTATTTTGCACAAAAGAGTAAAATGAAGCCATTCGTGTGTGTGTGTGTGTTTTTTTAAAAAATCTATAAAAATTATGAAGAGCCAAGAGGGGTCTATGAGCAAATGCCATTATATTTTACCCTCTGGAAATTTGCTGCTATTCATTACAGACAGCTGTCCTCTTGTGATCCTGCAACACCAACAGAGCCCCCTCCAAGTGAATTTATAACCTTTTATGCATGTGTTGGCCAACTCTCCGGCGGCTAACGAGATCACCCTGCAATATTATTGATGACCAGCTTCAACACGGCAAATAACAGGATACTTTAATCGAACATAATCATCTTTCTTTTGCAGCGCGGGGGGAGGGAGAGAACCTAACCATTACTTCATCATTTGGCACTGGGGAACCAGAAAGCAGCAACACGAGATGTTGAAACATTTTGCTGCCTGCGATAGCTGCTGCTCGCGCTCTCTTGCCAGATTGGAGAACAGCTTCCCGGTGGGGGAATAAAATGGCTTTGGAGAGCAGGAACTTTAAAAGCTTACCCTTCTGTCCCTTGGCACCATCTGAGCAAAAAGTGACTGGGAAAGTTGACAGGCTCCAGCCTGACTCCCAACTGCTTGGCAATTGTCAAATAAAGCACAGACAAGCTGATCGGGATTCCAGTTCGATGGATCAAAACCTGAAAAGGGAAGCTTAGAACAATGAGAAGCTTAGAAGTCCTAGGGCTCTTTGATCTGGGATTTGAAAGAGCAGAGAGAAAAAGGGAAGGGGAGATCAGTTTCTAGTCACACAGTACACAAAGACCACCCCTGTTTTTAAGAACATTAAAACAAAAAATCCTCAGAGCCCCACTAGCAGATATGCAGAAAGTTAGAACAGGTGACAGCAATCTGTCTCTTTAAGGCATTGCCCCTGACATATGCCATGCATTCATATAGGAAAATGAGTCAAAAGTTCTTTTTTGGGGGGGTCAGATTTGTTCAGCAGAGATCTGCTTACCTGGCGAATGTATGAATTCAGAGAATTGTAGTAATCCACCTCATTCCCTTTGTATTTCAGTTGTTCATACAGGACGTAGTTCATGGCATCCAAAACCTGCCTCTGAAGCTCCACCTCAGAGACTTCTCGACATACTTCTCCTGAAACATCACAACATTTGTAAAAAACCACAAAATAACAAATATCTTGCTGCTCACGCTCTCTCTGTTAAGAACTCACACCAAATCACAGTTTGTGCTCACAACAGTTCCAAACACAGGAGAACTGGGCTTTAAAGCTGCATTGACCTTCTCAGTGCTCAGCTTCACACATTCACGCTTCCATCATTCTGCTGCAGCAGCCTCTAAAGACAGAGCAATGGTTGTACCCACGACTGGCAAATTACAGTTTGTCAATTCAGACCCCATATGCTGCATCACAATTTACACAAACCCAGGCTTCCGGTCTGGCTCCCGCGAAAGGCGGACGCATCCTTGGGTCGCTCCCGAGGGGCGTCTCGCCTGCCCGCGGTGGAGGAGGGAATCCGCGCGAGCGGAGACCCGAACGAGCCCCTCAGGATGTGAGGAGCTCGGATCCGGGGCGCTTTAGGGCGCTCGAGGGGGGAGTCTCGCTCTCAGCCGAGAGGTTGGAGACGAAATGGTTGTACCCACGGCTGGCAAATTACAGTTTGTCAATTCAGACCCCATATGCTGCATCACAATTTACACAAACCCAGTTTTTATTCGGGTTTGCCAGCTGAGGGCGCACATCTAAGAGCATTTCTATTCCCCCACAAGGAAAAGATTCATATGGATCTCTCTTCAGCAATTTTTGGAGGCCTCAAGCCATTTGAAACCCAAGGAATATTAAACTAAACTAGTGACTTGAGCACAAAGATACAGCTGGTTATTTCAAAGCGGTATATGAACGGGCCCTCCTCAATACATCAGCCCCCTTCTTTCATTTGTCCCCCTCTCTCAGTTTTCTGTCCCCTATCCTATTTCTCCCTCTGGACACCTCTACATTCCTGTTGACTGCTTCCTCTTCTGCTCCCATTTTCCTGAGTGCCAACTACTTCCTTTTCAGACTCTGCCTCCTTCATTCTTTTTCCCTGGCTTGCTTGCCTCCCTTGCCCCTTTCTGGGATACCTGAAAAACAAACACGACCTCAGTTATACAGATAGAAAACAAACCGTGAAGAGAATTAGAACATTGATTACATGAAAAGTGTGTAAAGATACTATATTGAAATAAATACACTGAAAACATTCAAGGTCTTCTCTATGCAATGCATGTTACAAAATATATTCAAAAATAATTGTAAATGTAGTCCAATTAACAAACGAAGTCCAACTCGAATAAAGGTCCTTTTTGTTATGATCATAAAGAATGTACTGTAATGCAGTAATAATGATAGTCACTCATTAATTGCGAATGTCTTTTACAAACACAAAGGTTCCTTCCAAAAACTATTTTACGAAACCCGGAGGTTACTGTTAAACATCCTAAGCTGATCAGAATTCAAGACTACCCAGTTATCTTTCCCCAGGAAAATGTGATGCCAATCAGAAGAAAGAACTGATGCTTAATGTTTAATATTATTGTGAATTCTGAATCTGTAATATGGATGTTTAATCAGGATAACTCAATCTGAAAATACATCTTGAGGAAGATTCTTTTCGAAACAGAGGATATCCGGACCTTTGTAAAAATTATTGATGAACTTAGAATGTTTTACAATAACCTCCTGGTTTCATGAAATAGTTTTTGGAACAAACCTTTGTAGCCCAGAGGGTCTAAAGATGGCTTCACCTTTGTTTTCTTAAAAGACAATTGGAATCAATGTGTGACTATCATTATTACTGCATTACAGCACATTCTTTATCATCATAACAAGAAGGACCTTTATTCGAATTGGACTTCACACTTGTTACAATGATTTTTTAATATATTCTGTTGCATGAATTGCGTACAGACAACCTTGAATGTTTTGAATGTATTTATTTCAATACATAATCTTTACACACTTTTCATGGTTATAGTTCTCTTCATGGTATGTTTCTTGTTGCTTTCCTTTCTGGAATACAGCAGCTTGGCCAATGGCAGTCAGAAACCCATATGCCTGCTCTGCCCTCACTATGATATTAAGGTATCAAATTCACTTGCTAGCCATCAAAACCCTCAGTACACTATCAATATAACATCCAGCCCTATCTCATAGGGCAGGGGTGTCGAACTCATTTGTCATGAGGGCCGAATTTGATATAAATGAGACCTTGTTGGGCCGGGCCATGTGTGTCTTAATATGTAATGCCAGGTAGGGGAGATATAAACTTTATAAAGGACACAAACACAATGGGTTTTGGGTTTTTTTACTTAAAATAAAAACATGTTTAAAACAGTAGCACTCTTGTAATATTTTGTTTATTTAACAGTGTCTGATAACTGACACCTCTTGCTCTGAATTATTGCATCAAAATGTATGTGCTGTTGCAATCTTGAGTATGCTGTTCAGGTGTGTATCTTAAGGTGCAAACCTATGATGACGCAGCAGAACTGGAAGAAGCAGAAGACAGCCAGTTCCACTGCGGGCCTGACAGAAGCCCTCTGGGGGCCTGATCCAGCCCCCAGGCTGCATGTTTGACACCCCTGTCATATGGAGCTTTTTCAGAGTTGCAGGGGAGGGATGATAAAACAGATACCTGCTTTAGAGGTCACGCTGGGATGCCGAGGGTTTTTAGACTTCAGAAATTTACGAACTTTAGCAGCAATGTCATCAATCTGGGCTTGAACAGTCTCTAGGCAAATGTCTGACAAAGGGTTACAGTACTGATCAATTAATACAGCACCTAGAAAAAGACAGGAGGCAAAAGGAACGTGATTTTGGCTTTTTAAAATGTCACACCCATTAAGACTGCTTTTCAATACAACTCTTACTTTAGCATGCAAAAAGATATCAGCATTACTGGTTTTGCTACTGTAAGTGTGGTATGGATAAACATTGTAGACTCTTGACTATCTTGTCCCTTTAAAGGCCACTGGATATTTCCTCTCTTTAGCTCATCTTTCTACCCCAAATACTGAGTAGGCATTTGAAGCTGGCCGGGTGTCTTCAACTTAGTCCTATGCTCTAACCATTAAACTGCAGTGACTCTCAGGTACCATCTTCTGTGGATGCAATTTTAGCTTCCACTAGGACAGGGCCTTTTCAGTAGTTGCCCCGATGCCATAAAATATCCTCCCACCTACTTGGCTCCCTCACTTGCCACTTCAAAGACATTGAGAAAAACATTATCCTTATGCCAAGCTTTAGACAGGAAGATCTTTGTTTACTGACTGCTGATTTCAGGTAATCCGTGTATAACAGCTGTTTAGCTGATTTAATTTTACTGTTTCAGCCGATGACAATCTGCATCATTCCTAAATTGTAAAGTACTTTGAAAATTGACAATTTTTTAAAACCAAAAAGTTAAATAAATAGATTCAATTGACATTATGCTGGAGTCAGGATGACAAAGTGAACTGATAAACATATTTGTCTTTGCATCCAGGTAAGAAAAGAAGGAAAATAATTTATCAACAATATCCGAGAATGAAGAGGAGGGAAAAAGGAAGGGGTTTCCCCCTTGTTGAAATGTATTTCATCGTATCTACCAAGTTCAGATCCAGATAAAAGAAACACACCCAGCCTGGACTCAACACATAAGAATTCCTGCTTATTCTTTATTTTACTCATCTCCTTCAGGTCACTGCTAACCTTCCAAGAAGGACTGTTCATCTGCTGGGCGTTGAAGATATGCCTTCAGTTTTTTTAAAATATTTTGTTGCCGCAGGAAGTAGAGAATTTTCTTTGCATAGTACTTCCATGTCAGGCCTTTCCTGCAAAGCATAAATAACCACTGGAATGAACAATCACTTGGGAAAATATCATGGAAGAATGGAATGGAAAGAGGTAGGCTAAAAGCTTCGGATTAACTTCTGATTAGAAATATCTGATTAGAGACTACAAGCCTAACACAGTAGTCACAGTTAGGGCAAAACAGGATCTTATTAAAATTAGTTCCGCTATACTGCTTAAAATATACACACACAATAACATTCCTAAATTATAAGACCAGTTGTTGAAAATAAATATCTATACCCATGTGAAATTAACAGCATACCAGAAAAGCAGGGACACACTCAGATTAGACCTACTATGGTCAGGGGCTATACAGAGGGTGGAACTGGCAGCAGAATAGACTGAATTAACACTGTAATTGCCCTATGCTGATACAGGATGTCTGTGTCTATGGTTGTAAAGGTATATGTATTTTATGTATCCTTGTATTTTATATTTCCTTTCGTCATTCGTTTTAATAAAGATAAAAAGTAAAAAGAACACACACAATCAATAATTTTAGACTCTAAAGCATTATCTCATCCATGAGATCTGGACAGAAAATTGAAGTATAATTAAAATGCCCTTATGGTTGTCCCCCGCCCCCATTAATTTTATTAAATTTCAGCATGCACTAGAACACAGTCACAAGCAGGAAACAAAATTTAGAGCCCGGTGGCACCTTTAAGACCAACAAAGGTTTATTCAAGGTATGAGCTTTCATGTGCATGCACACTTTTTCAAATACATTGGAATGATATGTAAGGTTCAAATGTATAGACAGGGAAATTAACATGTAACATGATGATGTTTAAGATATGCAAAGCCAAAAATAACAAGCTAAGGTTATAAGGTCAACAGTTGTAAAGCAATAAATATGTCCAAATAGCAGATAAATGTCTAAAGGTGTCTTTTCTAAATGTGGGAAGCAGAATTAGCTTGTTATTTTTGACTCTGCATATCTTAAACATAATCATGTTACAGGTTAATTTCCCTGTCTATAAGTCTGAACCTTACACACCATTCCAATGTATTTGAAAAACTGTGCCTGCACACGAAAGCTCATACCTCGAATAAACCTTTGTTGGTTTTAAAAGTGCCACTGGACTCTAATTTTGTTCTACTATTTCAGACCAACACGGCTGACCACCTGGATCTACAAACAGGAAAGAGACAAATCTCTGAATGCAGATTTAAAAAATCCTACTCTCTTCCTCTCTCTGCCAATAAGACGTAAGGTCTGCAATTATGCTGTGCAAAGAAACTGTGTGTGTATAATACAGAAATAAAAAAGAAAACGTATCAAAAATCATTATCCTCCATACCCCACAAGGGGTCTATATCAGAGAAAACAACATAGCTACCTATAGCCTGTGTCTATTTGGGGAAACATTCATCTCTCTTTGATGGCTTCTCCAACTAAAATAAGTTGATCTTCAAACAGGACTTAGCTTACGGGGTGTGGGGGCTGCATGCCTTCCACCTCACGGATTGGCCTGCCTGAGGTTGTCAGGAAGGCTCCCACATTTCTGTAATTCCAGAAACAAAACAGTCTGGGTGGCATATTTATACAGGTAATAGGGCTGTATAATAACAAAACAGTTCAGGAACCTTGTTTTATAAACAGAACGGGGCTGTGAACCATACCACTGTGTACAGTATGTGCCGTTTGTTTGCTGTATGTATTATCCTGTTCTCACTACTTCGCGTCTATGTTTATGTAATAGCATTTTCTGCATTACTTAACATATATACTTTACGCTCTGTTTCAGAGTGCCATAATCCTAGTCTTATTAGATGTCTCTGATTGCATTCACTAATTGCATTTACTGATTGCATTTACTAATCCTGTGTAATCCGTCTTGAGTCTCTCAGTAAAAAAGGCAGAGTATAAAGTAAAATGCTACCCGCTTGGGTTTCTATTGATTCTACCAAGTGCATCATCTAGCTCCAGCTTTCTTAACATAAGGACCGCCGTACTATTCTTCGTCTCTTTGCCTGATCTGTGTGTTCCACGTTGTGCTGGTAGGCCCCTGATTAACTACTGGCTTTTATATTCTCAAAGGGACAGTGACCAGTTTTATCCTTCTCTATCCCTGTAGTGTTTGGTGCATCCTGCAACCTGTTTGGTGTTTGGTGCATCCCATACCATAAAATCCAATTACATCTGCCATTTTTTAAATTTTTTATTAACATTATAGTCTGCCTCTCTCATTGAGATGCAAGGCGGATTACATAGTGTAAATCAAATACAATCAACAGGCTGGGACATCCAATGAACAGTGCAATAGAGTTTGGACTAAAGGTAAAGATAAAGGTTCCTTTGCTCGAAAGCCAGTCGAGTCCGACTCTAGGGTTGCGGTGCTCATCTCCGTTTCAAAGCCGAAGAGCCAGCGCTGTCCGAAGACGTTTCCGTGGTCATGTGGCCAGCATGACTAAACACCAAGGGGCACGGAACGCTGTTACCTTCCCACCGAAGTGGTACCTATTTATCTACTTGCAATTTCTTGCTTTCAAACTGCTAGGTTGGCAGGAGCTGGAACTAGAGACGGGAGCTCACTCCGTCATGCAGCAACTCGGGTCTCAAACTGCTGAACTACTGACCTTCCACAGCCTGCAGTTCAGCGTCTTAACCACTTGAGCCACCGCAGCTCCTAGAGTTTGGACTACAGAAACCCAAAAACAAGCAGACATCTAAAACAGAGCTGAAACAAACCTGAAACAAAGAATAAGAATTTAAACATGACATGTTAAATGGTTAGAAATGATATAGACCAGGGGTGGCCAAACTGACTTAACGTAAGAGCCACATAGAATAAACATCAGATGTTTGAGAGCCACAAAACATGAACAAACATTACACACGTTTTTAATTGGAAAATATGCAAATTTGCTTTTTATTAACATTAAACGAGACTGCCAAAAATAAAAACAAAAGGGGTAAAAGCAGATATTGATAATGATATTTATTTATCCAATGATATTTTTAGGCTGGGAGGGCTTTGAGAATGCATTTATAGTCACTAGCACCTTATGATTTTATGATGCCATTTGTATTTGAATTGTTTTAAATGATTGTTGTGGTTTTATTGGCATTTTGTATCAACTGTGTAAGCCGCCCTGAGCCTGCTCGCGGGGAGGGCGGGGTACAAACTGAATAAATAAATAAATAAATACTATAGTTGCTCTCTTTCTCTGCTCCCCCTTATCTTAAGCCTACCCAGGGGAAGGGAAGACCGATCGGGGACGCATGCCTTCCCTTTGCTTCCCCAGCCACCCTGCTGGGAGCCACAATTTGACCACCCCTGACACAGACCATACTCAAAGTGACAGGCAGCACTACAGTAGTTTAGACCACAGTCCCTATTGTTATTCTCAGTCTTTAGCTGAAGAGTGAAGGCAACACCATGTTGCAGTCACACAATAAAATCAGTCCTAATAGCCCAACAACATATACAGAAATGTTCAACAGGTCAATTTCAACAGGTCTTCCGCACCATAAACTGGTCACCATATATCTGCCAACTTCATCAACCCCCAACAAAGGCTCTCTCTGGAACAGGACACTATAACATGCTCTACAAAAAAATAATACAGCCCTCTGCAATCCTCGCAGGCAGACCATTCCACAATGTTGGTCCTATAAGCAATGCTACCCTTGTTGAGGACAACAAGGAGCAGAATGATTTGTAGGGTGGTACAGCACAGAAGGTGTCCTTCCAAGGAACATAACTGGTGAGTGACAATGTGGTCCAGTAGATATGGGGATCCCAGGTTGTGAAGGGCTTTAAAGGTAATAACCAGCACGTTAAAATTGGGCACACTGGTTTCTGTCCACTCGGGCAAGTGATTAAATCCTGCAACCTCTCATTCTCCAGTCAATCAGGATGCTCAGTAGGAACAGATATTTTGCTGGAACACCTTCCAGGGAAGTGATTTAGTGTAATGATAGCGAATGGCAAAGACTGCAGCATAATCAGGGGATAATTAGCATACATTTCTGCTTAATAGGGATGTGTGCAGCCAATGCAAAGGCTCAAATGGCATTAACCAGAAACCTCATCAGCACAAAGTGTTAAGCTGCAGCTGCAGCAGAGTTTGAAGACAAAATTTAAGGCAACTGTTACAGAACAAGCCTCAGCATGGTCTAAGAGCAGACCCTTTAGCTCAAACTAAAAGCTCTGCAAGTGCCCCCCCCGTCTTTAAAATAGAAAGGGCCATCCTTATACATCATTGAGAACCTTTATTCAAAACCAGTAAAGAACAGAACTACACATTCAGGGGAGACACGATGTGAGCCTCTGTATATCAACTGCAAAGACTGAGAGTAGGGTGTGATTTGAAGTAGACGGAGAAGCAAGAAGACATGGGAGGTAAGCAAAGCTGTGGAGTCTTGTGAGCAAAAATCCTACTTTGTGAGCTACTAGCACTAAAGTAGTGAGCAAGCGATTTGGCTACTGCATCAATTAGTTTGCTCTGGAGTCATCCTTCCTGAGCTAAGACAAAAACCTGTGAGATGGAGGCTAAAAAACTGTGAGCTAGCTTACAGTAACTCAGCTTAGAGGGAACACTGGAGGAAAGTAAGTCTTCTCCTCTTACAGTACTCCTCCTCCATAAGCCATTGTTCCTTGCAAGACAGCAAACATGCACCTGGAATCCTGAGGGGGGGGGAGTTAGCCCCTCCCCTTTGCATCCACTGCTTCAAAGCACAGCCTTCCACCCCTTTGCAACAGAGTGGAGACCTGGGTTCCTAGGCTGCTGTCTCCAACACACACATTGATCCAGCCAATCGACTGACTAGTGCAGCATGTTCTCCAGACAAGACAGCCTCATCAACACTATGATTTTTCACTCGAGACTACCATTTTTCATTCACAACAACGGACGTTCTTTCACCTGAAGCCTAAATTCAAAATAAGGGAGCTGCTGAAGCACAGCGGCTAAGAGAATTCACTGTAATACGGATGGACAGAATATCTGGGAGATTTTTTGGCATGGTGGCATCTGCAATCCTGGAGATTGCCAGTTCATACCTCACTGACAAACTCACCAAGTGGGCTTAGACAAGCTGCTGTCTGTCTACCTTAATCTTCCATCTGCAACATGGAGATGAAATACTGGCCTGCCTTACAGCTCAGTTTTAAGGATTACAGTGAATGAGCCCTGTACAAATGCTACACACATGCACAGAGAGAGAGAGAGAGAGAGAGAGAGAGAGAGAGAGCTCCAATGAGGCATAAAGAGGGGGGTTAAGGCAAGAAAAATTATCTCCTTTGAACCCCCCACCCCAAACAGTTGTTTCATATTGCTCTATTTGTTAAATTCACAGATATAAGAATAGCAGAAGGCCAATTTAAGTATCATGTGCATGTATATGAGCACTATCTGGACTAGATCTCACTGAAATCAGACTAAGTACCCTAGCGAAAATGTAATCGGCTGAGATGACCAGGAAAGTTTATCTTGGCTTCCATCACCTGAAAATTTGAACATTCTCTACAGCCAGGGATATGCCAACTCTAGTGGCAGTAAGACTACTTCCTAGAACATTTGAATGCCAGTCACTTTACCCCTGTGAGTCAGATTAGGGTTGACTGGAGAAAAAAAGCCTTCTTCTTTTTGCCAGCTCCACCTCAGTGCTGTCCAAGGTAAGATGTATCCGGAGCTCTAACTGTTTTTGCAACGGCAAAGGTCCAGAGTTAAACAGCTAGTCTGGCATGCGACAGCTGTGACAGAAGTGGGCAGCACCCCTTCTCACATAAAAAAAAGAAGTCTTCAAAAGGTATTAGCTCCAAAAAATGATTTGCCTTTATGTAGCAATATGCTGCTAAACAGGCCTACAGGTAAATGCCCCCTCCCCCCGCTCTCGTCATTCCTGTAATCGTACTGGGCTCAAGTCGCTGCTATACTCTATGCTTGTGGTGAGGTTTCTATAATACTCAGTTTCATGCTTGCCATAGATGGGGAGCAACAGCAACAAGCAAATTTCTAGACTCTTCACCTGCTGCATGGCACTGCTGAATTGATCAGGGAATAAGGCTAGCGCACAGAGCAAGAGCACAGACACAAGATCCCACTGCATCAGTGCTGGCAGCCTGGAACACCACCACCCTTGTGCATATACCGCAGGGTATCGGGAGCAACGTTTGGCTCTAGGTGGCAAAGAACTAAACCCAACCAAACTATGTGTTATGTCTGCCTCGTGATCACCCCAGCTGTGAGTTCCTTGGGGGAAGTCAATTTAGAAGCAATGCAGGGACCTCGTTTTAGTTAGAACCATGGCAGAGAGGAGAGGAGGGGCTCCGGTCCCCCGTCACCATTTTCCCAACCCAAAATGTCACCACTGGGGACAGGGGGCTGCATGTACACTGAATGTTTGCATGTGCAGCTCCCCAACAGGTGCCATTGTGGGTTGGGAAAGACTACCGGTGGGGGAGTCAAGAGCCCCTCATCCACCCATGCCATGTTCCCAACTAGAATGGGGCCCTTGCAGCTCTTCTAAATTGAGTTCCCACGGGGAACTCACAGCTGGCATCATACAGTGAATCCCCATGGCGAGCGCATGGCAGATGAAACGTGTAGTTTGGCCCCAAGTCAGAGCTGATGCAAAGAGATCAAACTCATTTACAAACAGAAGCCAACACCTTGAAAGTCCCCCAAAATCTGTGAAAAAGCAACCCCCACTTTCCAGCTCTTTGGCTCAGCCTCACCTTCCTTCCATATTAAGGATGGACATCAGTTCATCCTCAAAGAAATGGCTTGGGCACTCCAGAGTCTCAATGTCACTGAAGCCGTCGCAGGGAACCTAGAAAAAGAAAATAGTGTTGCGCTTATCAGTAACTGTTGTCCATCAAGTTGCATTCTGTGCAGGCACACAGTGAGACTGTGCAGGCCAGCCACTGAAGGATTTCCCCAGCTTCTCTCTCTCGGCCCCCGTTCCCTCCATTCTCCTAAGCTGCCACGCGCACTCCAATGAACATTAACGAGAGCCCCCAGCAGGGAAGGTGGGAGGGAATGTGTGCCTGCACAGAAGACAACTGTGTTATTAAAGGGCAACAACAGAAGATGTAAGAATCAGAATTCTTTCCACACAAAGGACCAGAAAAGTGCAGCTTTGTTCTGAGCTGAGGCTGTCTTCCTCAGGGAACTCCCTTAAGAACAACCTTACCCTCAACATTAAGAATGAATAGAATTCTACTGACACAAATATTCTCTGTTAAAAATACACAATCAAACGGAAATTGCATATAATAAGGACATGCTTATACATGATTTCGTTAACTTGCAGTTTTGTTTTTAAGGACAGCCTCTAAGGAACAGCAACGCTGCCCAGATCGTGTTGGTACTTTAAAATTTTTGCTACCCATTTGCTGAAAACTTGTTATCTACTGGAACAAAGGCCTGGATCCAAAATTAATATATATGTACGCACACGCACACACACGTGTGTGTGTTTGTGCTTCTCACCCTTTCTCTCAAGCATTCAAGGGCAAGTTCTCCGTTTCATCCTCAAAACAACTTTCTGGGGTGAAACAGGCTGAGAGAAAGGGTGATTTCCCACAAGCGCTGCTCCGCGCTCACTCTTCTCTTTGGCCCGATGGTATGTGTCAATTTCACACAAGCTGCTGGGCGGCCGCATTTTGCCCCGCAGCTTCGTGCGATTTTCCCCACGTCTACTGTTTTTTGAGGACTGAGTAGACGCGGGGAAAATCTCACGAATCTGCGGGGCAAAATGCGGCCGCCCAGCAGCTTGTGTGAAATTGACACATACCATCGGGGCAAAAGGGAGGCGCTTGTGGGAAATCACCCAAAGAGTGACAGGCCAAAAATGAGGTTTATGGGCAAATGGGGATTTAAAATCAGAGCTTTTCACAACAACCCTGTGAAGAAGGGCAGACTGTGAAAGTCACTGCCCCAAGATCGCGCTTTATGGTTGAATGGGTATTTGGACTGTCCTGGTTGACTGTCCAAGTCCAGTATTATAACCATTACACTATATAGTCTCATACAACATAAAACAAGCTTATTCTGCCTCCTGCTATGGTCCCCTAAAGTTCCCAAGGGACAGAGGATCCTTTTGAAAGGTGGAGGAAGTGAGATGGGCAAGGGATAGCAGGAACTGGCAGGCAGCAGAACTGGCCAAAAGGGGGCGCTCCCATAAAATGTAGGCTTTCCACTTGTTCTGTTGCTTCAGTGGACCCAAATAACCAAAACACCAAACCTCCAAGGAAGCAGGGAAAAGCAAAAGGTAAGGCCGGTCCTCTTTAGCAAGACAGCCTGGCACACACAGAGCTATGGTCAGAACAAACAAAAAGTCTTACATGTTCAGAAAAGAACCTTTTGGAGAATGATGCTACAATTCTTCTAGCTTCCAAGCCAGCTTTGTGTCGCTCTTTATATTCCTCCAGCCAACTGACATTCTCTGTCTGGCTGTAGTGTTTCATTAGCGATGGCCACCTACATATAAAAAAAGCACAACAGTTAGCACTTGGGTCTTCCTGCAGCTCACGAAAACGTGAACAAGCTGCTGAGTTTATTCCTCCTTCATATAATTAATCTATAGATGAATGGCAAAAAGGTGTCCCATTTTTAAAAGGTATTAAAGTAGAACAGAAAGTTTTCAGAACGGGCTGCTGATCTTGTATGAATGGCTTAAGAAACTCTTATGCTTTCATGTAGTACAACAAAGCAATTCTTCAAGAAATCAAACAGATTCTAAGTAGACCAAACTCCCAAAAGGCATTTGAGTACAATCAGGCTGGAATATATTCATCCAGTTTTCTTCTTCTTCCTGTAGCAACAGAAAAGGCTATTTTAAGTGATTCTTTATTCCAGATAGAGCAAAGCCTTAAACGCATGAAAAGGGCAGAAACTCTCACATTAGTTCTAGGAGAACAAATGCAATCCACCCTAAAATGAGTAGATATCTGTTGCACTTTCCTTCTCAAACAAAAGAAATAAACCGGTGAGCTACAGCCTACTATCCTAATCATCAGACGATTTCTCACACATACATAAGCATATGGTAAGCAAAAGTGATTCAATGATGTGAGATGGAAATAATGTTTTAGAAGACCACCAAAGAGATCTGGAGATGAACAGGACTAACAAGCAAATATGTATATGTTTACAGCCTAAGGGTAATCTTATAGGTAACATTTGGCTTCAAAATGAAGAAGAAGAGTTGGATTGATACCCTGCCCTTCATTTGGAGTCTCAGAGCGGCTAACAATCTCCTTCCCTCCTTCTCCCCAAAACAGACACCCTGTGGGGCTGAAAGAGCTCTAAGAGAGCTGTGGCTGACCCAAGGTCACCAGCTGGCTTCATGTGGAGGAGTGGGGAATCAAACCCGGTTCTCCAGATTAGAGTCCATTGCTCTTAACCGCTACACTAAACTGGCTCTGTGTGTGCACGTATTTTTAAAGCTGTCCAAAGTTTGACAAATGTCAACATTCTCATTAAAAACTGACAATCCCAGACAAATTTTTCAAACATCCAAATGCTCAGACACACTATGGTAAATGTGACTATCAGAAATCACTGCTGTGTGCCTGGAAAAAGGAGACACAGATGCACATTTTGTAGGACATCTAGTTGGAGAAATCACTAGGAAATAAGGAAAGAGAAGAGTCCCGTTCACAAGTTACAATGAATGCATGTACAATCCATGTACAGCATGCACTTGATTTTACGTTATACATACGCTAAATAACTCTCATGTTACATTCACATATGCACAGGTGAATCAAGCCTCATATTTACCCAAATACTGATCCCCAGTTTCACGTGTTGGCTCTTTCTTACAAACAGATTATTCATGTACATAAAAGAGGTATGTGTGTTCACTGTAAACAGGGTAGCATCTGTAGCTGATGAGAGAGACCCACTGCCCCTACAGAAAAACACTGGGGGAGAAGGAACTATATCCCACTCACCATACAAAACCAGTGGTGGCCAAGGGATGCATGTGAGTGCTGTCCTCCTATCGCTAGGGAATATCCTCAGCTGGTCAGGGTTTAAGAGTTGGAAAAACTGGGGGGGGGGGGAGAGATAGGCCTGGAAATGCACACCCTGCAACTCCCTGCCCTAAAGGTCTCTTTTCCCTGCTACAAGTTTAGGGGGGAAAACAACAACTAACAGCTGGGACAAGGGACTAACATTCATTACTGCCAGGAAACCTAGGAGGTAGCTGCTTGTTCCCTATTTCCCATGTGCATCGGGCACAAGGAGATGCCAACAGCTGCTCTCTGTGGCACTGAACCCAGACCTGTCTTTGATTTCCGAAGGAAATGGGGGACAAAAAAATAATCCAAGAGTGGCCTGTAATTCTGGACTGCTATTTGCCGTGTGTGTCCCTGGTGCCTTGGAAGCTTCTATGACATTGGAGGATTAATGGTGCACCTGCCTATCTATTCAAAAGAATGAAGGTTTTCTGGAAAGAAATTTCAGTATAATATCTCTGGGAAGAAGCCTCCTGGACAGCAGCCATAAGCTCCCTCCCTGAGTAAACATGTTAATACTGGGACAAATCCAAGCTATGGATCTGGGCCGTGCTTGTCAGCCTACTAAATGTGCTTTTAACATGGGGGGAAATAAAGGTCTTTATTTAAAGAAATTATGCACTGCCTTTCTGGCACAATGGGGAATCTGAAGCAATTTCCAATGTACAATTATATCAACGATAAAACTGTGCAGTAATGAAAGCACTGCCACCACATCAATAAAAGACCGGAGGCAGAGGGGAAAAGCACCCCAGAGCTGGTGCATTACCAGACCCTGATTCACAACTCCGCAGAACACCCAGGTGCTAAGAAAACAGCACTTAAAGGTAGAGTTCAGTTCCCTGAGTCATGCATATTTTTACTAAGTGGTGTTTGAACAAGGAAATTATTCACTACCACAAAGTGTTCAAGAAACTTGTAAGTGCTACACTTTAAGAGAATTTGCTCAGAAGACATTTTTTAAAAAGAGCTGAAGGTGGTTCAGTCTACTACTTTTCCTGCCTTGATTTTCTGAGTTTTGCATGCAAAATCTTACAGGCAGAGCTGTGCAGCACGGCTTCCCATTGCTTGCAGATTCTCCAAAAAGAGAGGAATGAAACAGAAGTGATGATGGAAAATCTTTAAATGTTCATCCTGCTGGGTAAGTGTAAACAGGAGCCATCATAGTAAGGCTGCATAGCTGAGAGCAAGGCTGCAGCACAAGGGAGGAGGGATAACCACCCCCACCACTCCTTCTCCCTAACCTTAATCCTCCCCCCACTCTGCCCCGTAGAACTGCTGTATGTCCTGTGATGGTTATTTACTTTTCTTGTGAGGCAGAGAGTAGCTCTGGAGAGGCAACTGTGATCACGAGTGTAGCACGGGGAGTGATGTTTGTTCCCCTTCCTGCCATACTGGGGCTCTTGAATCACTCCCCAAACGACTGTTTATTTAGTAATAAACCCATTCATGGATCACTTGACCTCATTATCTAGTTTGGTCCAAAAAGGCTCCAGTAATGAAGGAGAAAGAGTCAATGGCCAGGAAGAGGGAAAATCTGAAATCTTAGTTCAGATCAACTGTATAAATGCTTGAGTACAATGATATACAGGTACGACTGCCACAAAATTGAAGGAATCCTAATCAATCATGTCTGCATACAATAGAACAACACTTGAAATAAAAAAGAACAGTTTCCCCACTTTTAGATGACGCGCGCCTATGTCATGAGGATGGCATCTTAAAAGAGGCTCTCCGGTGTGAGAGAAGGGGGAATGCCTATTCTTATATGGAATTTATTTGATCATATCCTTCTGTGTAAGAATCTGTTTGCAAAACTCAGAAAAATGGGGCAGGAAAAGATTATGTGCTGCGTCCTCTGCTTTCATGAATATTAGCAGCAGATTGTATAAAAACAGGAAGCAGTCTGAAGTGACCATGGATTGTACAAACAAATTTTAAACCTATGCTTTTGGGTACTACGGACATTGCAGCATAATTTGCAGCTGATGCCTAGTCTACACATGCAGGGGACTGAGGTGGTGGTGAGGGGGGTAGAGTCATAGGGTAATAGAACGAATTGTACCACATTAGGCTGCTGCTGGGGGAATCACCTTGTTTTTAATGCTCCACTGTATAAAATGCTCCCTGCACATTTATTTAGGAAATGTATATCCTTCATCACCAGTGTCCTACTGATTACCTGATAGCTAGCTTTTTACTTGCAAGGGGTCTATTTTTGTGTGAGGGAACATTCAAAAAAGGCACCTCAGACATGCAGCATGCTACTTTAAGATTCTGCCCCCTCATTCTCTTGCAAATGTAGACCAGGTTTCAATTCTGAAAAGAAACCCTTCAACAAATGTGTCATCTCGATGGGGCACAGAGCATCAGAACAAATCACAAATGTGCACATTCACAGCAGTGTAACAGTGTTGCGAGCAAATGCAACAGCATGAACGTTTTTGGATCAGGGTGCCAATCTGTCAACAGGACTTGGACGGAAATACATCACCATTGGGGAGCAAAGCAAAACTTGCAGGCGTTCATACGGGCGCACGGACCAGCAACTGTAAGAACTGGACAGATATATGTAAATTTCTGATCCTGGCCTGTTATTCATAGCAGGCGAAGTTCATCTACAACCTGGCTGTGTCCATGTCTTGGCAGAGGAAGAGAAGTTGTAGCGTTTTCTCCAACTGCCAGTTGGCATGTAAAATTCAGACCAAACAGTTCAAAGGAAGAAAATATTCTCTCCCCACCTGCAAAAGAGGTGGCTGAACAATGGACAGTTCACCAGTTCAGAAAACTATAACTCTGGGTTGTTTTCCAGACCAGCTTTCCAATTCAAGGTTTGGCATTATCTTGTCAGCAACCAATTTGGATCTTTAAAAGATTCAGATCCAGCAGCGAGGACCATTGTGGTCGGTGATAATAGATGCCTGCCTTCCAAAAGCAGCTGATTCTTTGATCACTGAACTTTTGGCAGAAACTGAGATATTGACCCTGTGACTCTGGGCCAGGCTCCATCTTGAGTAATTGCCTTAAAAATCCCCACTGCAATTACTATTGGAGAGGTTATTCTCTCCTCACTGCCCTAAAATAAACAGTTGCAGTAATATTGTAACACGGCACAGCCAGGTTCCAGTAGAGGGTCATTTGGCCCCTATTTGCACGTATGCAGCTAAATTCATCCATCGTAGCAAAGGAACAGCATGAAAACCTGATGAAAGCAAGCAGGTACGGGCAGGTACAAAGAACTGCTATCCTTTAATTTTAAAAAGCTGTAATTTTCTGGCTTTGCTGTAGCTGACTAGTTGGCTCAGTGGGTTTGTAGCAGCTTCATTTTTTAATCTCACTGTGGTCTAGTCTTTAACATCCTCCTTTCATCTCCTATCCCACGGGTCCGGCTACTGAAGATAAAGGAAGAAGTCTGAGGCTCAGAACAAGACCAAGGAGATTTTTCCCCTTACTATC